TGAAAAATGTGTAAATAGTTAAATTTGGAAATAAAATGTGTGGCATTAAATCAAAATTACCATATTTATCATACAATACATACATAATTAGAAAACACCATACATTACATACATTAAAAAGTTTTAATAATACAATACATACAAAGCTAACCATACAATACATGTTTGCTATATACCCCAGCAGTATGGAGGGATGGACCATTGCATTATCATCACGGTGGATACACAAGAGATTCAAATAAAGAAGTTGCTTTAAAATACTTACATAATTCAGAAAATTCTATTGATTTCCTAATAAATAAGGTATAAAATTTCTTATAAATATTTATACTGTCTTTTAATAATAACTATATTAATTTCTTTTTGTTATTTATTAGGCTAAGAAATATTCGATAAAATATGGGGCAACTCTTGTATTGTATGGAATATCTCAAAATCCAAATACGAATGATTATATTTTGGTTCAAAATAATTTCATAAACTTAGTAAATTGTTTAAGTGGAAATGAAATAATAGATGATTTTATTCAAGAAATGCAATTTAAAATAAATGACCATGATGATATAGTATTTGAATGGATACCGTACAATCAGTTTGATAATATTAAAGAAATAGGTAAAGGTGGATTTGCTACAGTATATTCAGCAAAATGGAAAGATGGTTTATTAGAATATGATGAAGATAATAAAATATATAAAAGGGATCCAAATAAAATAATTGCCTTAAAATGTTTACATAATTCACAAAATATCAACAATAAATTTTTAAATGAGGTATGTAATTTTTTAATAATCAATTTAAAAATCCATTATAAAATATTGATTTTTTTATTCACTTAAGCAGACCAAAAATTATCCAATAAACAAAAGAAGTAATATTCTTAGTATATATGGAATCTCTCAAAATCCAAATACAAAGGAATATATTATAGTTTTCAAATATGCAAAGAAAGGAAATTTTAATAATTGGATAAATAAAAATTATGAATATTTCAATTGGCAAGATAAATTATCTGTATTGGATAATATTATTTGTGGTCTTAAAGAAATTCATCAAAAAAAATATATTCATCATTACTTTCATACAGGAAATATATTATTTTTAAGTGAGAGATATAATTTTGGTAATTGTATATCAATTTCAGACGTGGGATTATTTGGAGAAGTTAGTAATAAAGATGAAACAAAAATTTATGGAGTTATGCCTTATGTGGCTCCTGAAGTATTAAGAGGAAAGCTTTATACTCAAGCAGCAGATATCTATAGCCTTGGTATGATCATATATTTTGTAGCAACTGGAAAACAACCTTTTTACAATCGTGCACATGATCATCATCTTGCATTAGATATTTGTAAAGAAGTTAGGCCAGAAATAAATGAACAAGAAGCGCCAAGCTGTTATATTAGTTTAATGAAAAGGTGTTGGGATTCAGACCCAAACAATAGACCAAATATTATTGAAGTAGATGATTTAATCACATCATTTTATAAATCATCTGGGGTGGATTTTTTTATTGTAGAAAATAAAGAAATTGAAGTGCAATTTAATGAGGCAGAAAAATATAGAAAATCAAATCTTACATCCGTTAAAAATTACCAAGCAGCTACTCATCCACAGGCTATTTATGTATCTCGATTACTTAACCCTTTTACAAAGGATCTTCCAAAATATAATGATAACTCTGAATGTTTAGATTGCAAGGTTTAATTAAATATATACAAATAATTAAGAACGAAATTCAGCATACTTGGGTTATCACAGTTATTTTGCAAAACATTTACAATTATTTACAATATATATTTTATATTATTTGCTCAACACTGATTATAGATTATTTAGTATATATAGTTATAGTATTATAAATTGTAATGTAAATTTTTATTCTATAAATAAATCGGTTTGTAATTGAGCAAATTAAATAAATAACATCTTATTAATATTTTTAAGTTTATATGATATGTTGTTTTCTTTTTGTCACAATCATTAACATCAAATCAAATCCACGTTTATTCTCTGAGGATCCCCTTAAGAAAAAATATTTTATTATTAATTTCTTTATATTATAATTTCTTCAGATATTCAGAAACTACTTAATTAATCTTCTATAAAATCAATTTGAATTTGTTGATTTTTCAGTGAGTGTTATAGACATTATATAATCAAATATGAAAATTAACTTTAATGATATGAGTGTATTACTGTGGACCAATAAGAGTTAAAGGACATTACTAATTCCTATTATACTATTTCGAGCTTAACAGAAATATTGAGGATGGCAAGAATATTGGGATGAAGGAATTTCTTCAAGACAAAAAATGTTTTTTTATAAATGATATTAACTTTTAGCCATGATACTAAAAATTATAAAAATATGGCGTTATTATTTATAAGTGATTGCTGTGTGGAGTTTAAAGGGTAGAAAGGCCTTGAAAGTTTTATTTTTGCAAATTGCAAGGTATATGTAAATAATTTCAGCAGGAATATATTGATATTAACTTAATGACTTTAGTATTTAGGTAGGTTAGAATATTGTTTAGAATTATTCAGGTCGGACCAATTTTTGAAGTACTATAAAAAAAAAGCAATAATAATATTTTGCTTGTTTGGAGGGTAATTTTTTTTTTTTTTAAAAAAAAAAAAGTATTAGTATTCTTCGGGTTCAGTCATTACAAAAAGCAATAGCTTTTGGTGAAGCGGTAGTAGTCAGTTATTTCTTCTTACCTGCAATAGGTTTAGCTATACTAGGCTTGCTATAAGGTGAAACTTGTGCGTTTTTCCTTTTCTTTTAGTCTATTAAAGAAGTAGGCAAGCTTGGTCTAGCTTTTGGGAAGCCTATAGATTATTAAAGTCCAAAAATTGATTTACTGTTTATGAAAAAAACCAATAAAATTGGTCATTATCCAATAAAACATCGGTATAATGAACAGATTAGTGATACTGACTTATCTTAAATTGTTTTTAGCCAGTTGTTACAATTATTAAAGCTGTATAAAGTTTAAATGATAGTTGATAAAATCTATGTTTAAAGTTAAAATTAACTTTTGTACATAATAGATAACAGTACATTCCAACATTTTTTTCATTATAGAATAATAACGGAGTGTAGAAATTTTTTAATGAAAAGTCTCCTTGTAATAAAAATTAGACTTTTCAGTGGTGGCAATCTCCACAAAATTTTTTGTATTGTTAAAATTATCATTAGAAAAGGAGCCTACTGCTTAGTGATTTAACAAGCTAAAACATTTGCAACAATGTTTGTTTTTTCTGTAATTATAATTCTCTTAAAGGCCATCAGTTAAGTCGGAATCACTAGGACAGATACAGTACTGTTACTGTGTTAATATGCAAAAACTACACAACAAAAGTTGCATGACCATATAATGTTACTCCTGACCAAGGGGTTCTCTATGACTGTATTTCATGGACAAGTTACTGTATATTACCAATAAACATAATTCATTAAAATGTTTACATAATTCACAAAATATTAGCAATAAATTCTTAAATGAGATACAAAAATCATTTATAATAGAAAATTTCTTCATAAATTAATTTAAACATTATTTTTTATTATTCATAAGTAAGTTTTAATAGGAATTTTTTCATAATAGAAAATGAAGAAATTGGAATGTAATTCAAGAAAGCAGAGGAAAGTACTAGAAAAGCAAATCTTTCATTCATTAAAAATTACCAAATAGTAACTCATCCACGAGCTATTTACACATCCCAATTACTTAATCCAAAAATATGATACAAAATTACTCACTTGATATTCAAATGATGGTAAATTCTTTGAATTGAATTAATATCAGCGGTTTTATTCTCAAGGAATTTTGTTGTATAAAGATGATTATCTACAAAGACTTCTATGCTCAATTCCTGTATAATATACAGTAATTTACATCTGGATTGTGGAGCAACCATTCTACAAATAAAAAAAAAATAGAATAAAATGGTAATTTTTTTTATTTATCAAAAAAAAAGATTGTATTTAAATTAATCAAAATTATCAATCAAATTAAAATACCGAAAAAATCATGACCGTAAAAAAATTGCAAAATAATGATAAAATCCATCCTGATATAAGATTTGTATTGTTGCACAATAAGTCACTTTCCCAATTACAACGTGGCTGTACTTACAATGTAAAAATGATAATTTTTATCAATTTATTTTAAAACGGAGAAAGATATAACATTCTCATCGGCTTAAGCATACTAGAATGTGTACATTTAAACAGCAGAGTGCTATAACATAGGACATTAATCCAAAACAAAACAAAATTATGTTACGCAAATTTATTAAACCAAATTTTTACATGTTTCACTGTACATAATTAATCCTTAACAAAATCTGTGCTTAATTATTAAAATATGTTACACAATTAGTCAGCATGAATTGTAGGCAATATCGGAATCATTGCTCCATAATTTACCCAGTTTGACACAATAATAAAACTTTAAAGATATTTACAGACATATGAATTCCAGGTAGGAATTGAAAATGGAATTTCCCATAATAATTTTGATCGTCTAGTTAATACTAATTAATTATAAAAAAAATCATAATGGATATACAATATTTTGTATAATTTATTATGCATCTTAGAATCGCTAAATGATATCAACTAAAATGCATGAATGTAAAGTTAGTTTTATCAAGATTTTACTTACATAGTTTTAAAGGTGATTTAAAACAAAATGAAATGGATATAAAATTATTCAGTCTTAACAGATTGTAGATACACGCATTGTCACTCTGAATTAAACTAGTAAAGTATTATAATGTCATATATAATAATTGCTATAATTAATGCTCATTAGTCAAAGCTGCGCCTAATTATCTGAGCATATTACACGCTAGCCGGAATTATATGATCGGCATATAAATCTCACTTTTTTGTTAAATACACGTAATAAACTAACCAGGTTGCACAATTAAAATTTATTTATATAGGTGATCTAAACGTTACAGTTACACACAAATTTTTTTAATTATATTTATTTATAAGTAATTTCAATAAAATTATAGTTCCAGATAGGAATTGAAAATGGTATAATAATGGAATTGCTAAATGATATCATAATCTATTAACTAAAATACATGTACTGTATGTAAAGTTGAAAATCATTCTGAAAAATACTTATGATTCACATGTTAATTTGGACAAATCTTCTGAAAATATTTTTGAGTATGATAATGTAATAAATGAAAAGAGAAAAAGATAAGTATGTGTATCACATTTATTATTTTCTAAATGGTGATCTCTTACAGCCGTAATATTGTAACGTAATTAACGTGATTAATAATTATTTATATACCAGTAATTGAATCGTTTATCATGGTTGATTTTAAAGTTATTTATTATTCAAAATCTGAGAGGTACAAAAATCAATTAACGTTAACGAACCGTACCTGCCTAAAATTTGTCATTGGAAAAATTTTTACGTGTAATCACGTGACTTCGATTGCTCTATTGTAGAGTTGACTTTCTTTATACGATCTTTTTTTAGATTGTTCACGCGCCACAACTTCAAAATTTCCTGAAAGAAGGCATTTGAGTATAGTATTAACAATACTTCACATTATTTTTATAGAAAATTGATGCATAATTTACGAAAAAAGTATGGCAATAGCATTAGTATGATAATTACATGTTGAGAACTTATGAGAATCCTCGCCGCCACATTTAACTTTCGCAAAAATTCACTGCAAAATAAAACACTCTTTTAATTGTTTTAAATGAAACTTACATTAGACCGGCTCCGCTCAATGATATAAAATCTCCATGGATGCATACTGTGACAGTTTTAGTTGTAACCAGGCCTCAGCATAGAACTTCCATGAACGTTCTCTTTTGAAACAATAAGAACCGATTTAATTTCTTAAAGCGGAATTCTCTTTGTTGCATTTCTTTCCGCTCATGCCATTCTGCAGGTCCCTAAATTAACATTGAAAGCTTATATTAATTCTAGCTCATTCACTTCAGGCTATAATAGTGAATATCAAAATTGTATTGTAAACAGTGACCATTTTGACAAGTGGTTGTACACCATAACCCAACAACCTTAGGGATAAGCATACGTTTCAGGAGTGACTATATATATTATGGTATCCTTCACCACCATCTATATTCTCTATTATGACCATCAGATCCTTTGCAAGAGTGGCTCCAGAGCACTTGTCAGACCAACTACTATATCTTCAAGACGGTGAATTTAAACCTGATGACTTATATTCAGGTACCTTAACCAAGGCTCCACTTTTAAAGATATAACCTTAGGGTGGGTTCTCGTACGATGGGCCCCAGTCATCTATTTGCAACCCTTTAAAGCCGTTCGGTCAGCCCTCATAAACCTTCGCACGTTGCTTTCGCGGTGTGCAGTCAAGGATTATGGCCAGTGGGTGATAGAATACTCTTTACCCACCTCTTTAAATATTCCAGTAAACAGTAACATTTGTTAAACAGTAGGTTTTAACATCCAATATGTATTCCTTAAGTGTTTTGAGCCAGTAAACCTGAGATTATTTTGAAGCCAGAAAAGAAGAGATAAAATTCAGTGTCATTATTTATTTTGAGGAGGATAATACAAAATTTATAAAATGGTTCTCGATAATTACAAAAATTATTTGTTTAATTTCTTCAAGAGCACTGAAAGTGATCATAAAATTTGAATTAGGAGTTAGCGCCATCTTTTTTTTTGTTAGGAGGGTTTAGAACTCGGAAACAACCTTTCCTGTCTGTTAGAGTTTTTTTTGTGAAGAGTTTTTTTTATTAGGTGGTGGCTTTTTTGATAGGAAGGTGTCCCCTTTTATATTTTATTATCACGTGATAATGTACAATGACAAAATATTTATATTCTATTGTGAATAAATATTGTTATCAACCATGACTAATACTTTGTTTGATACATAAGTCATCTTTACTAACTCTGATTTCTTTACTAACTCAGAAATTAGTTATCATATGACTCTGACGAGCGTCACGTAGTAAGTTTTTTTTTTTTAAAAAAAAGTAAATACGTTAAAAAAAAAATAGTTCAAACAATAGTAAATTTCTATATCGGTTAATCTACAACCATCATTTTTTGCCTTAAATAAAGCGGATAGTCAAACCTGGACTGTTTAGAAATTACAAATATGCATGATCGCATGATCAATATAATCAATATTAACAATAAATTTAATGTAAGAAAGTTTATTATCTGAAAATACAGAAGTTGGGAACAACCAAATAAATAAAAACAACAATAATACGAATTAGTAACTTAGTCTTTTTTTATTAGTGTTAATAATTAATAATTCATAAGTAATAAAAAAAAAAAAACTTAAATAAACTGAAAAATAAAATGAAAACCAATTATAATCAATTTAAAAAAAAAACTAAAATAAATTTTTTTTTTTTAGTTTGAAAAAAAAAATCTTCAATTTGAAAAACAAAAAATTTTTTAAAAATTTCAGAAAAAATTTCGGTCTACAAGAAACGAGGAAAATGGTGTGAAAGGGGATGATGCCAGTATTATGGGAACAGTCATTTTTAATTTTTGCACAAAGTCATATTTGATTAGATTGACTATTTCTGTTTTATATGATTAATAATTTTACAGATATAAACGTTTGAACAGAAAGACGGAACTCGTTTACTATACGCGTCTCTTCAGGGCCGGAATTACGTAATGCCGCCTGGCATTATCCAAAAAGGAAAGGAACTAGTTACATAAATTTTAATTACCAACCGCCAACATTTATTTTGATTTCGTATTTTGAGAAAACACTATATAAAGTTCTTTATTTAAAATACTTTTATCTCAAATTTTCAATTTTTTTGTCGTATTGTCCGGTTTATCGATAATTCTTGAACATTTTAAAAATGAAGAAAGCTACTTTCTTTAAATTTATTGTAGTGTTATGTTCACAGTTAATAACTATTCTTATTGTAATATTTATTCCGATTGTAATAGCGATGGTAATTTATGATGAGAAATCTGACATTGGAACAGTTTTAAATTAATTGCTGAATATTGTTCTTTTGAAACTTATAAGTTCTATTATATCGTCAGTTATCGGTATAGATTTATGAACAACTTATTCTTGTGTTGGAGTATACGTAAACGGAAGAGTTGAAGATATTGACCAATGACCAGGGTAACCGTATCACGCCTTCTTATGTTATGATGAACGTTTAATTGACGATGCGGCAAAGAATCAATATTAAAATAACTTTAAGAACACCATTTTTGATTCTAAGCGACTAATTGGTCGTCGTTTTAACAATAAAGAAGTTCAACAAGATATTAAGCACTTTTCATACAAGGTAATGACAAACCTATTATTCAAATCACTGTAAAAGGTGAAGAAGAAAATTTACTCCTGAAGAAATTTCGGCTATGATTCTTGGTAAAATGAAAGAAATTGCCGAATTATATTTAGGCAAAAATGTTACACGTGCAGTGGTTACAGTCCCAGCTTACTTCAATGACGCTCAAAAATAAGTCACAAAAGATGCTGGCATAAATTTCTAGACTTAATGTCTTCCGCATTGTAGATGAACCTACAGCGGCTGCAATTGCATATGGTCTTGATAATTCCGAAGGGGAGCGTCATATTCTTGTCTATGATCTTGGTGGTGGTGTCTTTGATGTTTCTCTCTTGTTAATCGAAGATTATGATTGTATTTTTGAGCTGCCGGCGATACACATTTGGGGACTTCGACAACCGAGTTATTGACCACTCCGTTAAACTTTATAAAATGAAAAATAAGGTAGATGTTTCACAAGATTTAAAAGCTATGGGTAAATTAAGCGAACATTATCTTCTCAAATGTCAACTCGTATCGAAATTAAATCATTTCATGATGGTAAATATTTTTCCGAAATTTGAAGAACTTAATGATCTCTTCCGTAAAACATTAAAGCTCGTTGAACAAGTGTTGAAAGATGCAAATATTGATAAGACGGATATTGTACTCGGTGGCTCCACACGCCTAAGTCACGTGATTTCACGTAAAAAAAAAAATGTTTCCAACGATAAATAGATAGGTTAGACATTTAGTTTAGTATAATTTAGTCACGTTAATCATGGGACGATAAAGCAGGGGTCGAATTTAATCTTGGGTGATCAAATTCTTTCGTAGTCCATTCTAAGTCCGATTCTTATAGTCCCAGTACTTTTGAGTCAATTCATTAATATTATTAATCCAACAATTTAATTTCAAGCTTAATAATTTTTGTAAATAAAAAATAATTAGCTGATTATTTTGATTCTTCTAAATCTTCAAATTAAATTTGTTATATATATGATAATTAAGAAAAACTAGTAATAGTATAAAAGTGACAATTTATCCAATAAAATTTGGATTTGGACTTATCAAAGTCCAATAATTCAATTATCCATTGGCCCAAAAAGCCATCATTACAACTTTCTAATTAAATCCGTCAAGAAATAAATAATCAAATTCAAAATTATTCTTCCTTTTATCTTTCATCCCAATCCTTGTTGTTTCCTGAATTTAATCAAGAATGATCGTTACCGACGAATAATTAATTCGACAAACTATATTTTAAAAATTTTATTTTAAGGATTTTTTTTAATGTTGGATTTAAGAATTTCTATGAATTCTTCTCTAATATAATTATATTGTTCTTCTTTAGATTTATTTTTCTACCCTTAATCAAATTTTTACGTGAATGATAAATAATCTATCTTAAAGTTTTGTTATTACTGTAATTGCAAAAAAACTGATTTCGAAAATTCACACTGTTTAAAACAGGTTGTTCTCTTGATAATTAATAATTTTACAGGAAAATTAGCAGTGTTTTGACGTTATGATTGTTAACGATCAACGCCGATCATATTGCATGCTAGATAATTATAGTATATGTGGTGTAAAATAATGTCGTACAAATACAAATCATCACATATAAGGCCGAACATTTAACAAATTTGGATTTTTTTTCTTTCCTTTAACGCCGCCGAAGTTATAAAACATGGAGGATAATAAACTTTTACCAAAATTATCACAAAATTTACTTGAAATATTAAATGATGAAGAATATTATGATATTACTATTGAAGTTGGTAATGACCCTTACGTAAAAGTCTTCCGTGCTCACATGGTTATTTTACATTATCGCTCTTCTTACTTGCGAAGAATTTTGTCAACTAATAAAAAGAAAAATGATGGTACTTTGGCACATATCAAATTATCAAATATTTCACCTGAAATTTTTCAAATAATTTTAAGGTAAAACAAATGATATTCAGGTTATACTTTTTTATTGATTTTATTAATAATGCATATATATATTTTTTTTAGGTATATTTATGGTGGAAAACTTTCTTTAAATGATTATGATAATTCGGATATAATTAAGGTCCTAGTTGCCGCTAATGAACTTAGTCTTCAGGAATTAGTTTTATATTTACAATTTTTTTTGATCGAAAACAAAGAAAACTGGATGGAAAATAATTTTAATTTCGTTTATCAAACAAGTTTTGAAAATGATTCATTTTCAGAACTTCAAAAATATTGTATTAATTTAATATCTAAAGAGCCAATTAAGATATTCAAATCATTAAATTTCTCTTCAATTCCAGAAAAACTTTTGATTTCAATTATTCAAAATGATAATCTTCAAATAAGCGAAATTCAAATTTGGGAAAACGTACTTAAATGGGGACTTGCTCAAAATCCTGAACTTCCTTCTGATATCACAAATTTTTCAAAAGATAATTTTAATACTTTAAAGAATACCTTACAACAATGTATACCTTTTATTAAATTTTACAATTTAACTTCTAAAGAATTTGTTGACAAAGTATTTCCTTATAAAGAAATTTTACCTGAAGAATTATGTACGGATTTATTAAAAGCTTTTTTAACTCTTTTAAATCCTGATAGTAAGCCAATCGACAAATCAAAATCTCAAATAACTAAAGAAATTGGATTAAAAACTGTTGATTCAAAAATTATTACATCTCAACATGCTGAGTTAATCCTAAAGTGGGTCAATAGATTAGAAATTACAGATAAGTTAACTTCATCATATGAATTCAAATTATTATTTCGCGCATCCCGTGATGGACATACACCAGAAAAATTTCACGACATTTGTGATAATAAATCTCGTACAGTTACAATTATTAAAGTGGAAGATAGTACCGAAATTCTTGGAGGTTATAATCCAATTGAATGGGGACCTAATGTTTACTATAGAACAACTAAAGATAGTTTTATATTTTCTTTTACCAATGATAGAATTGAAAATTATATTTTAAGCCGTGTAGTGAATGAAAAATATGCTATATATAATGGTTCTTTATATGGTCCATCATTTGGTGAAAGTGATTTTATGATATGGAACATATTCAATATTAATTATTGCAAAAAATCCTCATATAAAAAATCGATTAGAAAAACTGAAAAAGAGTTTAATGTAGAAGAGTGTGAAATATTTCAAATTGATTGACATTGAAAATTTACTTCTCTGTCATTCTTACCCTTTGATAATCATTAGTTCGACTTACCATAGTCTTTGGCGCGTAAGTTGGGAACTAGTTTATATTTTTTTTTTATCTTGGTATAAATTAATATAATTAAAATAAGAGACAAGTTGGTGTCGCTGCTAGGTTCTCGTGATTGGTTTTATAGTAAAAGGAATTTATAATATTATTATATTGGGTATAAATAAGTTATAGTATTTACACTGATAAGAGTTATAGGTTTTTTTTTTATGTACTAATCAAAAATTTTGGATTAGTTTAGGCTAACTAAGTTATTAGTCATGTATTTAGTGTAGATACTTTATTGATGCGATGTAAATTTTTATGATTAATCGATCTCCTTTTTACGAGCAAAAAGTAGTCTGATAATTTTGAGACCGTAACGACATGCACTTGCACGTGATAGCGTTAAACTTAACTCCAGCCAGTGCGTACGTTAATATCGTACACATGATACGTAAGTTAAGGAACTCCAATTAGGGATGGAAAATTAAATTTGATTGGTCAAAATTCCGAAATTAAAATTGATGTTCCGAGATTACGGCCAATTCCTGACTCGTCATGTTTAAGTAATACATAATCAATTAAAAGCCACAACCTATTTACATGAGTCATCTTATGTTGTTACCTGTACGTATTGTATGTATTACAGTATAAATTTATTCATAGTATTCATATGAATAATTGCTTTTGCGCACGATGTGGTAACACAATTGTAAACGGTTATTTATGTGGGTAGTCTAAACATAATGCCCACGTGATTGCAGTGTTCGTTGTTCTTATTTTCTTCATTTTGGAAATTGAAGATTCTATTTTTAGATATTCATCTTATTGTATCATCAAATTTTATGAGAAAATGTATATATGGAATATATGGAAAAATGATTCCAGCAATTAAAAACCCAAGGAATTGCGATACGAGTATAAGATTCGTTATTTATTATTAGCTAATTTTTATTCGTGGGTAAATTTTCAATTAACGAAAAATGTTAAGACTATTTAAAAAAGGTCAATAAAGTAAACCATGCAAATATAACGATTAGGTTGAACGGATTGTTAGATAATAGGTTAGGCTAGGAAATTTGTGGCTATATTTCGATGATTAGTGAGTATTAATATAATAATAATATTGAGATTAAAAACGTCAATTAGAAATTATAAATGCGACCTTAGAGATACCATATAATCATCAGAATAATTTCTTGGGTAATAACTATGGTTTATTTTTTTTCGGACTGAATCTCAATTAAATTAGTATGATTTCTTTTACTAACTTTTTTGAAAAAAAGGATGAATAAATAAAATAGGATTTAACAATAAAGATAGTATATAGAAATGCTGAAAAAAAGAGTGAAAAAATAATTGGTAATTTAATAATATAAAAATTAGGATAAAATATGAAAGCATCAAGAATTTTTAAACCTAGAATATTTTATAATCTTGGTAATTATTTTAAATTTTCATTGTCTGAATAAAAGAATGAATATAAAAAAAAAATTATAAAAGAAAAACAAAGAAAAGAAATAGAAAATAATAGAAAAAAAGATAATAATGAAATTCATAATAATTTGTATTCTCTTGTTCGTTATTATATTTTACCCAATAAATTTTTGGATTATCGATTTTTTTCTTTCTCTCTCAACTCTTCTATACAAGATTTACAAAAAGTTTTGAGATTGCTTTTGTTGACTTTAATATCAGTTCTAATAATGTATAGAGTTAATAAAGGAAGTTATAGCATAATGAAAATTTTTTGTGAAAATTTTTATTGTGGATTAGATACAGATATCCCAAACATATAAAATTGTTTTTTTTCAACCGAAAAGAAGATGCAACAAAAGAAATTAAGATGATTTTTTTTATTAGAATAAAAAAAAATAAAAAAATAATGCAATTACTAAATACTAAGTATGTTAATTATTAAATATCTAATAATAAATTTTTAAATTTAAACAAAAGATCGGATAATAATAATAATGAATTGTTGCAACAGAAAGTAAACTAATCAAGTAAAGCCATAATCTTAAACCAGTTTATTACCATAATAATGTTTACCATCAGTTTTCAATTTAAAATTAACTATTTTTCCATTACAATACTTTATAATAGATATTTCCGCTAATTGAAACTGTAAAATAATTTACATCTTAATATGAATTAGTATTAAAAGAAAATTTCTCACGTTCTAAGTCACGTGATTCGAATCCCCTAAAGGATGACAGTTTATTTAACAGATAGCTCAAATACTTTTGTCTTTTGCTTTCCAAACATTAAATTTCGTATCTTAAAATCAATTTATTAAAAGCAAAATTTCTGGACTAATATTAAAGATATATATACCAAACGATCAGTTGTTTTTGATGATCAAAGCCATAGATATCATTGATCGTTGGAGCCACGATGATAAAAAGATAGGAAATAACTAATAGTTAATTTTTACCGCAAAATCTCCTGGGAACGGATAAATCAATACATGTAAAATTTGCTACCCAGTTGTAAATGGTGGGGATATTTATTAGTAACCTTTTTAGTTTATTCTTTATTGTATTTGGAAAAGTTGTATAGGACAAAATAGAATTTAACTTGAAATTTACTTTATTAAAATAAACATGAGTTATTTTATAAAAATATGCAAATATGTTTTGTAATTAAATTGATAATTAAAGTATCAAAAAAAATGATTATATCCAAAAACGATACTTTTATAATAAATTTCATGGTATTTTCTAATTAAAAATGAAAAATCAGAGTTAACGAATTTTTACATTATTATAAGTTAA